CGGAGATCCACCCGCTGCCTGGACCCGCAGTAAAATCTCCGATTAATATGGAGCCGCAACCATCAACATCGATATACCATGAGGTTTCTGCTGGCGACGTTGCGGCGTTACTCAGTTCCAAATAAAGGTTACCAACGCCAAATTAGCAAAATTTAACCGGTAACCAAGACTCAGTCTATCCACGACAAGCAAGCAACATCACAAACGAGGTTGTAGTGTGCAGCTCACGAGTCAGCGACGACCGATTTCAACGAAAGTCATTCCGTCAGTGGAGTACCGCAGTTGCACGGCATGTTTGCCAATGCACAGATCTGTGGAGGAACTTTTAACTTCAACATCAACCGTGTATCGTAGTCGCCCAGTTTAAGTTCTGGTTCTGTTCAGGTCCCAACTAAAGGGCGACAGTCGTCGTGTCGCGTCCTGTTCGATATGGGACTCATAGCGACGTATACAACGCGTGTAAAATACATTGTTTATTTACATGAAGTTCGAACACGCGCTGCGCTACGACCACCGCGCTTAAACATCCACGAGTTATTTATTCGGACAATGACTTAAATTAGACGTCTGATTATTTTATTTTCACACGTACAGCGACACGCGTTCTACACTGACAAGCGTTGCTAGGCCGCAGCACTGTCTTGGAGCATATTAATGGGCTATTGGGTTCCCCGATCTAAATTTCTATCCCGGTTTGTTGCACGTTCTTTTTTTAATATGAAATAATCAAATATGGGACATTGTATAATAACAGAACCCCACACCCTCCCCGTGGCTTCGCTCGTGAAAGTACGGCAGCAGGATACACCGCATCACTCGTGAAAATAACTTCCATACGCAATGAAAGCCACGGGGAGGGTATCTGTCATAATACTTCATTATCTCTGAAAACATTTTTCCCCTGAAATAAATTCCAGTGAATATGCCATTTCCCTCATACTCTATTGAGACACAGCGCAGTGAAAATTGGATTCACATGTAATACTTGAAAACATGTCAGCAAAAATAAATTAAGTGAACATTCTACGTGACTTTATAATAGTTGGAAATGAACACATTACACCCGACCCTACCACTCCATATACAATGTAAACTACACCCCAAAACATCCTTTCACCCACAGTTACTACCGTGTTTCACCAGTGTATTCTATTTGACGTCAGGAGAAATTGACATAAACAAATTAATTATAATTTCAGCCTCTAGTTGACCACTGATTAAATAAACTACCTCGTCTTTATGTCAACTTGCAGTTATTCGTTGCCTACATCAGTGACTTCAAAATATATGTTTCAATCCCAGGAATTTCACTCGCTGTTAATTGCATGGGAGTGCCAGTCTTTAATGAATTTCTATTGTCATGTAAATTTCTTGCGATTACTCGGAACATTAAGCTGTAACCACATACCGCCTAGGTGCTGTAATTAAATCCTGGTGTAAGCACCATATGAACTATGAACAATGCATGTGAAGCCAGCTGTGGGGTATATTCAATCCTATAGATTTCTCATTGTTTGGTAACTATTTGCTGCAAATGCAACAAAAATCAATATAAAAAATATTACCCACACAGCATTCTACAGGTTACTTGTTTCATTGATTGTTTGGTACTCATACACTTGGCATTGGCCAATTTCGGGACATGTACGCTATAGTGTGTGGTAGAAACACTCTATGCAGATAGGGTCTAATATATGTGGAAAAGTGCCAATATATGCCAAACGTTACGGGCAACATACAACGTTAAAACAAACAAAGCATTTAAGTTGCCCCTAACTCGAAGTTCAGTTTGAGTTACTAAAAATAGACGTTAAACAGCAATAACAGTTTATGTTGCCCGTAAGTCGAGGTTCGGTTAACTGTTATTTAAACATCAAGTTACAATTTGGGCGTGATTTCGCAAACGTGGGCGTGGTCATATTTGTAACTCGATGTTTTCGCAACTCAATGTTCACAACTCGATGTCCGTAATTCATGTTAGAATTGAATGAATTGAACATTTCGCTATAAGTGCTTAGTGTACTCTAATTTCTAAGCCGAACACTGATCTTCTTAATATCATTCGTGCGGTAGTAGGTTAGACATTCGAACACTTGTGTTGAGGTGAATGTCTTGCTACGTCGAGGTACAGTTTCAATAATCCCTCCCACGTCAGGGCGGTGGTCATCGCACTGCGCATGTGCGATATTTGTATTAAAGTAGAAGCCTCGTCATAATTTTTGACAATATAATGGTCATAAATCGCATAACAATGTTCATTAGTTTATTATGTACAACCGTGAAGCTAATGTCCCATGGTACAATGAAATAACATTATTTTGTGTGTTACAGTTAAGCTTTTTGAGAAATATGTCCTAATTCCATAGATTGAACACAATGCTAAAGAAAAGTTGCATTTTTTGACACTTTTTAAAACCAAGATTTTTTAAATAATCCATAACAACAAAAAGTACTCCATCATTAACAATATATGATTTGTTCAGCCTATGTCACCAGGCTAGATTTTGAGATATTGCATAATATCTCTGCCATGGGAACCTGTGGTAAAAGTGTTATAATAGTGTCAAAATGGCGACACTCCACTAAAATACAACCATCAATTTCTCGAAAAAAGGCTGTTTACCCCAACTTTTTTTAAGTCAATTATATTTCCTTTGTGTACATTTTATTGCAAAATGAATAAATTCTGGGTTTTTTAATTTATGAGTAGGCTTCTACCTTAATAAACATTGATTTTTCCCACAATCCAACGCGTTCTTTTGATAAAATCACGAGCCCGAGTTTTGACCTGGGCGCGAAATGCACTAATTGTCGCCGGTGACTCTTCGTTACCTTCCAATCACCAAAGAATCTCCTGATTAAAGCTTGGTAACCTCCCAGTTTATACTCGTTGGTCAAAGTCGACATCTTATGAGACCCATAACGACCATCGCTCGTTCACTTTCAACGAAACGGCTATTCCACGAAATGTTGTAAACGATCTACACCTGAGAATCCAGGTCTGGGTCTTTTATATACAATTACTTTTTCGTGGGACAACCATGTTTTTAGTTTCAGTATTGTCTTATACGTCACCGTGACAAGTTAACGTTACAAATACATACACTGGTTTTCTGCCAATATCACGTAATATGAAATGGTCCATGACGTATGTTCTAGCCGCACGTGCCTTGTGTATTTTTTTGTTCTTTTCCGTTGAATTAACCATGTAATACAGTTCATATTTTTTTCAAACGAGTAAACCTTTGTTGTAAAATGAAAATAAAAAATAAATAAATAAATAAATAAATAAATAAACGTTGAAACAATACTTGAGCTTGGACGTATCAAACATTAACAATGTGACTGAAAAGGAACTAAACCGCATTTTTTTCGGCATACACATATTAATACAGTGTAATGATTAAAGTTAAGTGTGATTGTATAATCGTTCCACTGTTCGTCGCGTTTCGTTGCGTTGCGCTACATTACACTGCATTGTGTTATCGCTGTAATCACTTACTAGTATTAACCAAGTGATATTTCACTAAACCCTCAACAACCATTATAATCCATTTTTATTACATTATTAACCGTATTAACCGACCGAGACGTGTACACACCTCGTACAGACAGACGCCTTTGTTTGTCGTACCTGACAGAACATACAATACTATCCAAGTTGTTGACCTGGGTGACGTCACATGGCGAATTGTCCGACATTTAGAGCGAGATAACCAACCGTCGATCACAATCGGATTGCTTACGACAAAAATATGTTTCAACACTTTCGGATTCTGTTATTTTGGCTACTGACATTATACATTACCCACGGAGAATCGGGCTGGGAACCGGCGTGTACGCAAAGCTGTACAAAACAGGTTGTATTTGTCTTGTTTACACCACTTCCTCGTATTGTATTGTACCTGCGTGTAAGTTACCGGGGGAGGCCATGCACTTGGGTTAAATGCTCGGGCGTCCCGGGTTGCTATAACAACTCATATTCTAGTCATTTAATAGAAATTATGACATGATCTACTTTATATTTTTCCAATATGATTAATTGCATGATATATTAGGGAGTCGCTGGTGACTGCTGAAACGCAATTCTCGATGACGTCACAACATGTTCTGAACTTTGACACATAGAAGGGTGTTACAGCTTTGACCTGCGTGGTTTAAAACTTGCATTATGTATGTCTTCATTATCAGTGAGATACAGGCTAACGAGTAATACGAGTCATACGAGAATCTCAGTAGTATCAGGGGGAATTTCTTCTCCTCTGGGTTCTCCACACGTGCCAGGGGAAATCTCGTCTGGCCTCTATATCGCGTCTCCTTGAGGTACGGTATCGGGAACGTCATTTAAACTTTACAGTCAAATAGACGCACACAACAAAATACGTTGCAACTTTAGTCTGTCAGTCGAGTACTCTATAAGACACAGCGCCCTGGGGAAAAGTCCCCAAGACTATCGCAAGCGAGGCTGACTCAAGACTCTCTCTAGACTGCGTCTCAAGACTGCGTCTCTCCTGGTGTTCTCGCCAAGACCAACTAAAAACTCTCTTTATTCACTTTCAAAACCTTAACAAATTACAAAGCAGTTAAAAGACTCTAAGGCGTGGCCTTCACACATTCAACCAATCACACTAAGTACTGAACACGTCATATCTTTTGATTAATCGTTCACTATATTACTAACTGCGAATACCAACTGTCAGAAATAGTAGTCCGGATAGCGACGGTTATATCGTAATTAGTTCCAAATCACTGAGTCGAGTTCCGTCCAGGACCTCGCATGAGCCTAAATGATGACAGACATAACCCAGCCATTCGCTAGTAATCAGCTAAATAAGTCGATCAACAGATACACGCAAACAAATTCATGACAGTAGTACTAAAAATATTTATGTACAGGCTACAGGTGTCATAACATGTCTACTCAGCTAGCATGATATTTTAGCTAATTATAGCACGTGGTTTATATCGTGTACCTAAATTCAGATGCCGCTAATTCACCCGGGGGTCCGACTTAAAGAATGATCTGGTACGCATGTCTGTGGAAGAAAACGCGTAAAAAGGGTGTGTTTTTTAAAGAAAAGCACGTTAACGCGCGTTACGCGTTTAGGGTTACCATTTCAGTCAAAATAGACAAAAAGGGTGTCTATTCCAGTACTGCCAACGTGATAAGGGTGGTTATTTTTAAAATGAGATTATCGTTTTTTTTTATTGCTTTAAGGAATTCAATGATCGCAAAAACGAAGAAAACGTCCGGCCCCTTGGTTAACGACCCTCGATCACGGGCGATCACGGCATATTACCAACCCGTGCTTACACAGAAGGGTTAGAAAGCTCAAATATCGCGAGATCAGGTGCGAGTTCAAGGTGCGTGATCTTTTAGCTTTCTAACAGTGAAAAGGGTACGAAATTTTGACCTTTTAAAACGTGTTTAGGGTCATTTTGAAAACCCCTTTCACAGACATGGGTTCCGGGTATTTCCACAAGTCGGACCCCCGGGCTAATTCATAAGTACATTCTTACAGTTTAGCTAAATTTAGATGCCGCTATTTCATCAATACATTCTCACAGTGTGGCTAAATTAAGATGCCGCTAATTCATAAGTATATTCTTACAGTTTAGCTAAATTTAGATGCCGCTATTTCATTAATAAATTCTCACAGTGTGGCTAAATTAAGATGCCGCTAATTCATAAGTACATTCTTACAGTTTAGCTAAATTTAGATGCCGCTATTTCATCAATAAATTCTCACAGTGTGGCTAAATTAAGATGCCGCTAATTCATAAGTACATTCTTACAGTTTAGCTAAATTTAGATGCCGCTATTTCATCAATAATTTCTCACAGTGTGGCTAAATTAAGATGCCGCTAATTCATAAGTATATTCTTACAGTTTAGCTGAATTTAGATGCCGCTATTTCATCAATAAATTTTCACAGTGTGGCTAAATTAAGATGCCGCTAATTCATAAGTACATTCTTACAGTTTAGCTAAATTTAGATGCCGCTATTTCATCAATAATTTCTCACAGTGTGGCTAAATTAAGATGCCGCTAATTCATAAGTATATTCTTACAGTTTAGCTGAATTTAGATGCCGCTATTTCATCAATACATTTTCACAGTGTGGCTAAATTAAGATGCCGCTAATTCATAAGTACATTCTTACAGTTTAGCTAAATTTAGATGCCGCTATTTCATCAATAAATTCTCACAGTGTGGCTAAATTAAGATGCCGTTAATTCATAAGTACATTCTTACAGTTTAGCTAAATTTAGATGCCGCTATTTCATCAATACATTCTCACAGTGTGGCTAAATTAAGATGCCGCTAATTCATAAGTATATTCTTACAGTTTAGCTAAATTTAGATGCCGCTATTTCATCAATAAATTCTCACAGTGTAGCTAAAGATACATAAGGAATAGCTTACCTACAAATCGTGACCGTGTTATATCCGATGTATTGAACGAGTCGAGTAGTTTGCATATGTTCCCAGCATAGCCCTAACTGCGTGGGAAACTAATCCCGTGCGCTGCCAAGTTGAGGTTAGAAGAAATAGAAACGGCGAAGTTCGTATATGCGACTTCTGCACCAAGACGCACTGTGGTGAATGTCTGAAATTACATGTATATAGCAAAAAAACATACTAGTATTTGATATCTTCAGAGATTTCCTCAAAATTTCGAATTGTGTGCATCGGCAATTAGGTCAGCTACTAATAGTCGGGCGGGGTATTATCAGGGGTAAATTCTTCTCCACGGGGGTCTCCACACTTGTCAGGGGGGAATCTCGTCTCGTCTCTATATCTCGTCCCCTTGAGGTGCGGGATCTAGGAAGTCACTTACGCCTTACAGTCAAATAAGACACACACAACGAAATACGTTTCAGCTCTCGTCTTAGTCGGTCAATCGAGCACTCTATAAGATACAGCGCCCTGGGGAAAAATCCCCAAGACTATCGCAAGGCTGGCCCAAGACTCTTTTAGACTGCGTCAAGGCTCGCCCCAAGTCTCTCCAGGACTGGACTTAGACTGCTGTACTCCCCAAGACCAACTAAAACAACTTTATTCATTTTCAAAACTCTAACCAATTACAAAACAGAAAAAAGACTCTAGGGCGTAACCTTCAATCATAAAGCCAATCCGTGATCACACTAAGTACTGAATACGTCATATCTTTTGATTAATCGTTCACTACATTAATAACTATGAATACCAACTGTCAGAATTAGTAGTCTGAATAGCGACGGTTATCTCGTAATTAATTCCAAATCACTGAGCCAAGTTCCGTCCAAAACTTCAAATAGGCCTAAACGATGACAGACATAACACAGCAATTCGCTCGTAATCAACTAATTAAGTCGGTCAACAGATACGCGTAAACAAATTCATGACAGTATCTACAATACCCAATGGGTCGTGTCTCATGTCGCCTTGCTCATTATTTGTTTTTTTCGCTATTTCAGTTTTCTGGGGGCATAATATGGCCTTGTGAAATCGAGAAACGAGGTAAGTATTAACGTGGGGAGGTCGTCACGTGCAAAGCTCGTCGTTGTTTACAAACAATGTCTACACATGAGCCTTTGCGTTTTTAAAGGGCGGTGGTCGTCGCGCCGCGCATGTGCGATATTTGTCTAATGTGCTATTCTGATGTAAATTACGAGTACGTATTTTGACCTTGACACGACGTGTACTAATTAAGGCCGGTAACCCCTTCGATGCTTTCCAAAAGAATTTACATAGTTAAAACTCAGTAACGTCCTGAGTTTGTACTCGTTGGTCTGTGCAACAGCGAAATTCGCCATCTTTGTTCATATGAGTTCCATATCTCGCGCATGCGTGGCGCGACGACCACCGCCCAAGTGCGCAGTTATCATAGCTTGGGACTCAATTCCCATGCGTGCTCATGTAACGACTCCTCCGACAGGGTGCTCTATGGACTAGAACACATTTCTCCTCGGCAATCTGTGCATACACACAGTTCCAAATCTAAAAACAAACTTACGAATAGCTCTTAAAGCGGTGGGGGGGG